AATGTCGAAAATGTGCCATATCGGCAAGTGGTTTCATGTAGCCCCATATGTATTTTGACGATCTTAGCCACACTTTCTAACGGAATAGTTTACAATTTAGTTTTAAGAGTTTATACTAGGTGCTTTCTCCTATGGCAGAACATTGTATACACAGGTCAACGCTTTCGTATTGCCCCCCATATATTTGTACCTTCCCGTAATCGCTATTTTCATTATTTTAGTTTCAGTTTCTAGAGGAATAGCTCAAAATTCGGTATTCGAAGTTAATAAAATTCTATTTACTGTGGCAGAATATTGTCTATACAGGTCCACTTTTTTATATAGCCTCAAATAATTGTACCTCCCGATATTCGCTATTCAGCCTCCTGTAGCAGAATATTGTCTATATAGCTCCACGTTTCCCGATACTTGGTTTTTTGACGATTGTAGCGACATTTTTGAACGGAATTACTTAAAGCTTGGTATTAGGATTTCGTAAAAGTCTTTATTTCCATAACAAAACAATTTCTATACAAGGCACCGTTTTTCTATAGCCCCCGCCCTTTTTTTCCAAATGGTTTAGGATATAAAACTTAATAACTTTCATACCCTACACCACAGGGTGGTCAGGTTATAATGTCTTTGTGCATTTGTTTGTAACATGGAGAAGAAAACGAGATAGACCAATAGTTACTTTTGAGGATCACCAAAGAATCACTTTCTGAGTTGATTTATGCATGTCAGTCCGACTGTCCATGTATTCTTGTGAAATTTTTCAAACAACATTTGTTTGGCCCAAGGACGAACCCTATTGAAATTGGAGATAATCGGTCAAAATTTAGATATGGCTCCCATATATATCTTCGTCCGATTTGCTTTTTATTGTGCACAAAACGTGTAATATCAGCCCAATAGTATGGAATTTTGCACGTACAACCAAATTAGGCCTGAAAATAAGCATGCCAAATTTGATCGAAATCGGTTCAGATATAGCTATAGCTCCCATATATATTGTTCATCCTATTTGTTATTTTTGTCCTCCGCAGCCGTAATATGCACTCTGTAACAACAATATTTGGGGAAATATATCAAATGCAGCTCAGAAATACATTTGCTAAATTTTATCGAGATCGGTTCTGATATAGCACCCATATATAACTTCGTCCGATTTACCTTTTATTGTGCACCAAACGTCTAATATTTGCCCAAAGGGATGGAATTTGACACCTCCCATATATATTGTTCATCCGATTTGTTGTATTTGTTACCCACAGCCGTAATATGCACTCCGTAACAACGATATTCAGGGAAATATATCAAATACAGCTCAGAAATATCTTTGCCAAATTTTATCGAGATCGGTTCCGATTTAGATATAGCTCCCATATATATAAAATTGGCAATACAAGTCCGAAATTAAAAGATACAAATGCTTCGGCATATTTAGTCTTTGAACTACAAATTATAATTATAATCATAGCGTTTATGATTGAATTCTCCCATAAAAACTTTTAATTGTTATGTGGAGCTCTACTAAATTAGCAAAGTGGTGTAGGGTATCATAATGTCGCCCCACCCGACTTTAGGACTTTCTTTACTAGTTTCCAAATGGTTTAGGATATAAAACTTAAAAACTTTTATACCTTACGCCACATAGTGGTAAGGGTGTTATGTCTTTGTGCATTTGTTTGTAACATGGAGAAGGAAACGAGATAGACCCATAGTTACTTTTGAGGATCCCGATAGAATCACTTTCTGATTCGATTTATGCATGTCACTCCGTAGTTTTGTGAACAAATGCGGGTCTCATTTATTATCCGATTGGGATGAAATTTTCCAAACAACATTTTTTTGGTCCAAGGACGAACCTTATTGAAATTGGTAAGAATTGGTCCAAATTTAGATATATGCCCCTATATTTCTGCGATCGATTTCATGTTTATTGTGAACCAGATGGTTAATATCAATCCAAGTGGAATGAATTTTAGCCCTTCCGATCGACTAGAAACATGTACTGCATTCTGGTGAAAATCGGTTAAGATATAGCTACAGCCCCATATATATGTTTCACCCGTTTTGGTGTTTAAATCCCTCACATTCCTCATTATGTTTCCAACCAGATATCAGCCCAGCCAAGCAATAATGTTTCAAATTTTATCAAGATCGATTAAGATTTTGATACAGCTCCCATTAATATCTTTATCCGATTTTATATTTATTGTGCGTCAAATATTTAATATCATCCATAATAGAGTGGTTTTCGGCCCATCTGACTGAATTCAGCCTACAAACAAGTGCGGAGTGAGATAAAAAAAATTCAAAAAAAACAAACGCCATAATTTTTATTTATTTATTTATTTTTTTTTTTTTTTTGAATGAAAGCAAAAAATGTCTGATATAGCATAAACTTTTAGAATAAGTTTAGATTTTTCAGAATTGGTCACATTTGCCACGAATTATGGCCTTCAAACGGCCAATGAAACCGTCAAACGCTGTCCGAATGTTGCTCTGCAGTATTTGGCCCATTCCCGGCGAAGCGCTTGCTTGAGGTGATCGACACTTCGCTGGAAATGTCGAGAGGAACATCATTCTGTAACCATTCTTGGGTGGCGCACGCTAAATGCAATGGTGCTGAGTGCTGTTGGACAAAATGTTTGCTTGGCTTTAATATACCGGCGCTTGAGTTCTGGTGGCCACCGAAGGTGCTCATTCTCAGCTGACCTCTTTGGCAAGTAAACACGACCATTTTGTTTGTTTACAAACCGCTGGATACCGAATGTTTTCTCATCGGAGAAAACCAAATTCGGCAGTTCACCACATTCGGCCAAGCGAAGCAACTCTTTAGATCTTCTGAGTCTATTTTCTTTCTGCGGCGGTGTAAGTTCTAGCACTTTTTTTAATTTCAATGGCTTTACCCCGAGATCATTTTTCAATATTTGCCGAATGTAATATTGCGATATGGTCAGGTCACGAGCCATTTTTCGAGCACTGCGACGCGAGTTTCGATTAAGTCGCTTCATTACTTTTCGAACCATTGCTGCTGATGTTGCTGTTTTCTTCCATCCACTTCCTTGACGTCGGACTACGCTAACAGCATCACGGTGACGAGCGATGGTACGAGACACAAAAGGTTTATTCATAATTAAATACTGAGGTGTTTTTTATCTCACCCTGTATTTTGACGATTTAAGCCACATTTTCTAACGGAATTGTTTAAGATTTGGTATTTTTAGTTCGGAGTGATTGCCAAAATATTGTATGCATAGGTACCTCTGGTATTTTGAATAGTTGATGTTTTTTAGCAAACCTAATTGTTAGCTGGAAATAACCATTTGAACTTCATGTAGAACCGGTGCTCTGTTCGCATTTTTTACCGTTTACGACCACATACAGTTTTGTTTGTTGTGGTAATAGGTTCAGATTATCATAAAGCTCCGAAGTGCGTAAAATCTTAGCAAGTAGAATACATTTAGGTACCTCCAAACGGATTCTAACTAGAAGGAAATTGATGAAGTTGGATCAAAATAGCTATAGATCTCATATATACACTGAAAGAAAAGTTCATCATCAAGGTAATGAAAAAAAATTATCAAAAAATCTTCATCAAATTGGTGTAGAAAAAACATTGTTTTTATGAAATCGGTGCTCAATTTGATGTTTTCGGCTGAAAAACACCGTCATCAAGTAAATGAAGAAACTTTCATCAATTTGTGGTCATCATGTCATAATCATCATAATGAAATTAGTTATCAAATTGAAGAAAGCTATCATTAAATGTTTTTAGTTTTAATTTTTCCACCCCCTGATGTTTGTGCGTTTATTTCGAAAACACGCACACACAAAAGCATTGCTTTTGTAGTATACTTATTCGGGCATGGGAGTTATTACCTTTAAACAACATAATCTTGAATAAGAATTGGTTTTAAGATTTTTAATTTATTACATGTCTTTTATATCATCCTTTAGTTTATTAATTTTTCTACCGTTTGCGGGGTTAAACTTCAATAACATTTTATTGCTGTATTAAAACTATTTTTGGTAGTTTTCAGATAAACGAAAGAAACTCTAGCATAAAATGCAAAGTCACATCTCTGGCATGCCAATTGAGAAAATCCCGTTATGTCTGCAGCGTGCGAAACAGTGCTTGAATAATAAGAAAAATTCATTTGTAAAGTGACATTTATTGTGATCAGACGTTGATAAAAGTGTTTGTAATATTTTTGTGCATTGGAGCTAATAGAAGTGTTGTAAGTTAAAATGGAGTGTTTTATATGTTCTAAAAATTTTAGTAATATAGAAAAATATTTGTGGCATTTGCAAACATTTCATGGTTTCCAAAATAGTGATACATTCAGGTGTACGATATGTAACAGCGCATTCACAACTAAAAGTTCCTTTAAAAGGCATCTTACAAAAGTTCACAGAGAAATATTTGTGGAAAAACATTGCGGCTCCACGAAAAAATTACCAAGTCAAAGTGATTTTAGGAATTTGGAAAAAAATATACTACACAAAAAATATGTACCTAAAGAGGTAAGCATCGAGAGCCACTGTGAAGAGACTTCTGATTCTGGAACATTGGATGAAGTACCAGTAATAGAAAATCTTTTTGAAAATAATTTAAAGTTTCAGACTGGTTTGTATTCCATAAATAACTTAAGTCGAAAGGACGCTGAAAATATTCAGACTTCTCAATACAATCTTGTAATTTTACCACTTCTAGACGTTTTCAAAAAATTTGCTGGCAAATTAGATTTGGATTCAAAGCAGGAATTATTTAAAACTATTCGTTGTTGCAATGAAGTTTTGAATTCAATAAAATCTGAGTACTTATTAACTAAAGAACTTAAAAAAAGAGATTTGTGTGAAGATTTAAACATTTCTGTCATTGACAAAAGCGGCGAGCTCATTCACAAAAAAGGCAATTTAACTTTCGCTGAAAAAGAGACCACAATGGCAACGCTTTCCCTAAGACATTCTTTCAAAAAAATTCTTCAAAAAGATAACTTATTGTTATCGGAAAACCTATTGAAAACGAATATTACTCAGACGTGGCCAATATTTCGTCTATCTCACGGAAATCTAGCTGTTCTTCTATTACTTTATCTCAAGAACCTCTGAAAGAACGCTTTGACTCCAATACCAGTGTAAAACTGACGACAATTTTGAACCAAAATAAAATTGGCAAAAGAATTTTAGAGACCTATAAAAAATACGAACATATAAATGAAGATCAACGAAATTTAATAATTACAACAATAGCTAGTTATTTTCATGCAAATGAGTTGCACATGTCTTTACAAGAAAGCTATAATTTGGAAAAACAAATAATAGAAATGTTTCCCAATGAGAAACTCCATTCTTACCGCACCGACAGACGTGGAAAGCTATATGTAAAATACAACAATATGAAAAGAAACCACATTTATCAGAAAGATAGAGATGTCAATTCACCTAAAGCATCCAAACCTGCAGATTATATCGGTAAAATATTCGAAAAAAACGTTATGATTTATACAAATGTAGTAAATTTGGGTTTTTATTATAGTTTCTGAAGAAAACGCCAAAGAAATAATTCATAGTTTAAAATACGATAATGTCGACCAAGAACAATTTTTAAAAATGTGGCAGTCATGCGCAAATTACCGAATACGTCAAATTTTTGACGAGCACGATAACCTTAAGGATATATTTAAAACCTGGCCACAGTATAAAGAGGGTCTTGGAGTAAAATTGGTAAGTAACTTAATTTATATGTCCATCTTTATTTAATATTCTTTCTACATGTGTGTGTTGATATTCCGTTTAGATTAACATGGACTTCGGAGTGCTGCATAAAGACTACACACCAATATTCGAATGGGAAACTAAACTTATTACGGTGTATAATGTGATTAAGAAGGAAAAATACATTAAAGATGCTGGAATTAAATCAGTTTTCGATAGAATTGATCCATCAGACGCAGGTTTGTTACGAATAAATTTTCATTAGATGCATATCATTAAATAACTAATATTTTTATTTAATTTTGTAGCTTCAAACATGTCTTTATTTATGATGCGCTTGACTTGGTGTCTACACGGCTACTTATATCCAACATCAAAATACCTCCGTAAAGATAAAGATGGAAAGAAAACGTATGGGAAATACACCATAAAAGACTCCCAAGAATCGTCAATATTCCTCGCACGAAGTATCCAAGAAGTAGACAACCACTTAAATTTCTTAGAAAAGAGAAATGAGAATATTCAACCTTTTATTTTTGTTGTTGGAGATGACAATTTAGAAGATAATGACTACAATTTCTATGTTTATTTAGACCATGCATTGCTACATTTTGTAGATTTCCAGCGAGCACTAGATACTTGCTTCAAAAGCTTTTTCTTATTTAATTTAGAATTTCCCGGAGCATCCAATCAGTTCTGGATCTTTGTTCAAGAGTACTTCTATGACATGAAATCAGCTCACACAAAAAATTTTTCAAAAATACTAAATATTTTAAGCGATTTAAATTATACCGAGAACTGATTTATATATAAATTATCTACATTTAATATTTAATTTTGTATTTGAATATAATTCAAACGCTTATGTACATTTTTAAATTTTATCACATTTATTTATTAATTAATTATTCTAAGGAAATATTGAAATCTATATTCATTGTAAAACCCGTAATGAATTATTTTTTAAGTTTTTTAATAAAAAATATTTCCTAAATGCCTAAAATATTTGTATTTATATTGAATTTTGTAAAATTTAGAACGGCGTTTCTAAAGCGGAAAACAAAATTCAGTTCGATGTTAGGGCTTCATTGATTAAATGTAAATTATACATTAGTTTGATGCAGTTTATTCATTGAAGTTATGTAATTTTAATGAATAAATTACGTAAGTTTGATGAATACCTTTCATTGGAATGATGCAGAATATACATTATATAGAGATAATAGAACATCAATTTGAGTATATTTTTTCATCGAAAGGAAGAAAAAATACATCAATTAAATGAACTTTTTTTCAAGATGATGACATTATTTCATTAAATTGATAAATATTTTTGATGAAAATTTGATGTAAAATTCTTCATTATAATGATGAAACGCGTTGTAAGCTCAAAATCGAAGAAACATTTCATCAAAGTAATGCCCAAAATCATCATATTGATGAATTTTTTTCTTTCAGTGTAGCTCTCATCTGATTTTATACATATGTACGCCTTCCCAAAGTCATAACCTGCATTCTATAGCAATGATATTTTTTATGAATGGTCATATGGAGGTGAAAAATTTAGTTGATAACTCCCATGTATTAGTTCTATTTGATTCATAAGGTTCATCCGCCCTTAAGCTGGCATACGCAATCAATAACGATCGATAGTATTCCATAAAATTTGTCGACATAATATGACCATGATCGGAATGTGTCGTCATTTAAGTCGATCCCATCAAAGGATTGAGTGACTACCACGGACGGAAAGAAGAACGCAGTACTAGATAGATAATCGAGATTTTTTTTCGAATTCTGACCGATGATGTTACAAATGGAATAACACACTTTATATTTGTATGGTGGAGGTTATAAAAATTGGCCTTAGGTTCGGCCTTCCATTTCTATGAAATGTAGTTTAACAAGTAAAAAAGCAGTAATTGAATAACCTCCAACATTTCGAACGAGTTAGAAAATTTTCAAAAAAATAAAATCCATTAAAAATTCTGTTAAAAACTTTAAAATATCTAATATAGGAAGGTGCCGATATATGGAGGAATATACGATATTGTGGACCTATAAAGACAAATCTATGTCTGGGTGTAAAGTACTCACAAGGAACTCCTTGTGTGGATTTTTAGATAATTTCATTGGAAAAAGTGGCTCATCAAAATACCGAATATAGGGGATATACGAAATTGTGGACCTATATATACAATTCCGTTTCAGGGGGTAAAGTGCTCACAAAGAACTCCGTGTGTGGATTTTCAGACAATACGATTGGAAAATGTGGCTAAAATCATCAAAATACCGAATATCGCGGGGTACTGTTATATGGGAGCTATACGTTATCGTGAACCTATATAGACAATTATCTTGCAGGGCATAAAATACCCACAAGAAACTCCTTGCGTACAAAGAACCCCCTGTGAACATTCCGTTGAAAAATGTGGCTAAAAACATTAAAATACCGAATATCGGGGGTACCGTTGTATGGGGGCTATACGATATCGTGGACCTATATAGATAATTCTCTGCCGAGGTATAAAGTTCCCACAAGGAACTCCTTTTTTAGATTTTCAGACAATTCCGTTTGAAAAATGTGGGTAAAATCATCAAAATACCGTTATATGGGGGATGTACGATTTCGTGGATCTGTATAGACAATTCTCTCTCAGGAAGTAAAGTACTCGCAAGGAACTACTTGTGTGGATTTTAAGACAATTCCATTGAAAAATGTGGCTAACATCATCAAAATACCGAATATCGGGGGGTACAGTTATATGGCGGATATCCGATATCGTGGACCTATAGAGACAATTCTTTTTGAGGGGGTAAAATGCCCACGAGGGACTCCTTTTGTGGAATTTCAGAATATTCCATTGAAAATGTGGCTAAAATCATCAAAATGCCGAATACCGGGGGGTATATAGATATAGATAATTCTCTGCCGAGGTATAAAGTATTCACAAGGAACTACTTGCGTGGATTTTGAGACAATTCCATTGAAAAATGTGGCAAACATCATCAAAATACTGAATATCGGGGGTACTGTTATATGGGGGCTATACGATATCGTGGACCGATATAGCCCATCTTCGAACTTGACCTGCCTGCAGACAAAAGAGAGATCTGTGCAAAATTTTAGCTTCCTATCTTAATTTGTTTTGACTGTAGCGTGATTACAACGTCTTAGAATTTTACGCTGATCAAGAATATATATACCTTGCTGGGTCTAAAATGATTATTTCGATGAGTTACAAACGGAATGACGAACTTAATATACCCTCCATAATATGTATGGTGGAGGGTATAAAAAGAAGCTTTATATGTTACTTGTCTAAGAAAAAAATTAAAAATTATATCTGTAAGTTTTAGATAGGTATATAATAAATTGTATATAATAAATACGACATAAAGGTATTTTAACATTTTCTTTCAAGAATTAACTCTGGGTTAGTCTCTCTTTTAAAGCATTCTCTGCGAAGGTGTTCCACTCTTGCCATTTTCTTCGCTTCCGCAACTGAAGAAGTTATCTTTGTATACATGATTTCAAATTTGGCCGAGTTAAACTGATCATATATGTAGATCGGTAACTATTTGATTAACGACAGATATTCTTTTTATATGACATTTTTCGTAGTGTCCGTTACAGGTGTGTCGCTCTGCGGATATCTCTTCTACTTTTGCAATGAAGACGAGACCCTTTTTGTTAAGGATCCAAGCGAGATCTACACACATCTTCTTGTCTCTCATATTTACGCTCATTTAAGAAATCAACTCGTGGGATGTACCCTTAAATTTTAATTCCAATAAACACCACTTTTCAATCCTTGCTTTTAATTCCCATTTGTTGCTAGGCTTTACATGCTACCATCAAATATTAAATATTTCCGAAGCACTTTATGTCGTATCCAATATTTGACTGGTATTGCCTGGTGTGTTTGTCTACCACCCTCCACTTTTTTGCACTGGCAGATGTTGCTGCTGCAATTCATCAATATCATTTTATCAATTTTCACAGCACTTTGATTTAGTGCGTCGATGGATGGATGGGTAGATGGATGTGTGGCAGCGTTGAAATGGGGGGAGATTCTGAGAAAGAGAAGAAGGTGTGGTGTTGTAAAAAAGAAGAACAAATAAAAACACTACTGCTGTCATATGCGTGTTGATGTGGCGTAGGCAGGCATGCATACATGAATGTACCAACATACATATTTATACCCAGGAATGCATACAAACATACATTTGTTAGGCTCATGTATGGACGAAGCATACACATATTCATCTATCGATCGTTCTGTATGGACATCTATCCATCCATCCATTCGGGTTCTTTTTTCTGGTTATCCATACCTCCAATGAAGGGAGGGGGCTGTTTTTTTGTAGTTGTTTTTTTTTTGCGTTACAAAAACTGCAACTGCATATTCATGTTGTGTTGTGTTTTTTGAGGCCTGCAAGTGTGGGGGAGAAAATTGTACCACCGAGTTAGTTTGATTTTAACAAACTGCCGCATGTATTTACGCAAGGATATCATGTTGCCACATATTGATGATACTGGCTGAATGTTTCGCAATAAATATGTAGACGAGGGAAGTTCAAAAATTAAGTTATGGTGAGGGATAGTTTGCTGTACAAGAAATTTTCTGTGGTAGAATGTGGTGCCTATTACGAACACTAAACACCAAAATTTTAAAAAATTCCGACGAAAACTGTGACACAAATCATCAAAATACAGAATATCTGGAGCAAGTATGACCCGTACGTGTAGTTCTTTGTACGGAATTTTTCTAAATATTGGGGCACATACTCACAATTTACAGCAAATTCGGTTTGAAATTGTGACAAAAACGCCCAAACCCCTTATACCAAAACGTGAACATATGCAGACCATTTTTAGTATGTCCTGCAGACCTAAACACATCTGAGCAATATTTGATCAACCAATTTAATTTTGCTGAAAATAAAGACAGTCAAACATCGCTAAATCTACAAAGAATTTTATGATGATCAAGAACATATGCTTTGTGGGATCTAAAATGTATACCTCAAGGTGTTACAAACGAAAATAAAAATCTATGGTGGAGGATATTGAGAAGTTTGACAATTTCAGTCAAGAGAAAGAAAGAGAGTTATCGTGCGTACCAGCCAGACGTACAGACACCTCTTGATCGACTTCAAAAATGGTTGAAATAGATTTGATCCAAAGAGACCTGGTGTCTGAAACTGTTTTGGCGGTATCTGTAGTCAACTGACTGAGGGTGTAATATAGAGTCGAAATATGTGTTTCTTGAGAAACTGGAAACTAAGTAAAAAAGCAGTTCGGTCGGGGCTTTTAGTACCCTCCACCATTTGGATGGAACTTGAAAAATTAAAAAAAAAATCCGAAAACTACCACCTAACAGTTTTATGGGGACTATACGAACAAGTGCTTACGAATTTTTTTTAAGGCTGCAGTACCCATTACTAGCTTCGAATACGAAATTTGAAACGATTCCGGTGAATAATGTCACTAAAATCATCAAAATACCGAATATTGTATGGGTGCTATAACTAACCGTGGACCTTTACATCCCCTACATTTGGCCTATATGAAACACAAGTTTGAGTAAAATTTGATTAACCTAATTCAATTCGTTCGGAAGCTAAAGTGATTTCCACAGAAGCACAGACGGACAGACAGACGGACGACCATCGACATAGAACTTTACGCTGAACAAGAATATATATACTTTGCGGGATCGAAAATGTATATTTCGAGGTGTTACAAACGGAACGGAATGACAAATTTAATATACCCTCCATATGGTGGAGGGTATAAAAATAAATAAATAAC